GAGAAATGAAAACTTATGTTCACATAAAAACTTATAGATACCTTTATTGGATTTACTTGTAAGAGTCAAAAACTGGAAACAATTCAGATGTTTTCTAATGTTAAACTCTGTTACATTAAGACCAAGGAATACTACTCAGCCAATAAAAAGGAATGAACTATTAATACCTGATGACTTAGATCTTAAGGATATGCTTAGTAAAAAAGGTCAATCTCAAGAGATTGCATACTGTATTATTTCATTTGTATAACTTCCTTGAAATGACAAAGCTGTAAAGATGAAGAAGAGATCAGTGACTACCAGGGACAAGGACAATGGTGGAGGTGTGTGGTTATACAACAGTAATATGACAAAGTTCCTCTGTGGTGATAAAATAGTTTTATAGCCTGAGCCTACGGGTTTGTGACCTGCCTGGGCAACTTGGCGAGACCTCATCTCTACAATAAATCAAAAATCAGCCAGGTGTGGTAGTGCACGCCTGTAGTTCCAGCTACTTGGAAGGCTGAGGCGGAAGGATCGCCGGAGCCCAGCAGGTCGAGGCTGCAGTGGCCGGGAGCGGCCACTGCACTCCAGTCTGGGTGACAGAGTGAGACTCCAACTCAAAAAAAAATCCAAAAAACCCCCCAAAAACAGTTCTATATCATGGTGGTCATGGGAGCTACATGAATCTATATATGGGGTCAAATTGCATAAGCACACACGTGCACATGCACAGACACAAAAATGTGAGCGTAAACATAGTGAAAACTGAATAAGGCCTCTAGTCTAATTAACAGTATCGTACTAGTATCAGGTTCTTGTTACAATATTGTGCTGTAGTTATGTAAGATGTCACTATTGTGGAAAGCTGGATAAAGGGTTCAAGGTACTCTACTTTTGCAACTACCTATAAATCTGCAATCACTTAAAAATAAAAAAGCATTAACATTTTTTATTGTGATTTTTTAACTTTAAAATAGCTCACACTATTTCCCTTAAACGAAAAGACTAATTTTTCTTTTTTCTTATTTTTCCAGGTGTCTCGGTGCTTGAGGATAGAACCGGTGGACAAGAAGCCGCCGGCACCAAAGACATGACGCCGAGGGAGCCAGATAATTTTTCTTAAACATTACTCTTTCATTGAGATAGAATTCACATACCATAAGTTCACCATTTGATGTGCACAATTTAGCATTTTTTAGCATATTTGCAAGGTTGTGCAACCAACATCAATATCTAATTTCAGAACATTTTCATTACTCCAGAAAGAAACCTCATACCCATTAGGAGTCATTCTCCTTTCCCCTCTTTCCCGTGGTCTCTGGTAACCACGAATTTACTTTCCTCCCTCTCTTTCTCTCTGTGCCTCTATATTTATCTATTTTGGACATTTCCTAGAAATGGAATCATATAATATATGACCTTTTGCGTCTGATTTCTTTCACTTACTATGTTTTCAAGTTTCATCCATTTTGTAACATGTATTAGTACTGCATTCCTTTTTATTGCCAAATAATATTCCATTGTATGAGTAGATCACATTTGGTTTACCCATTCATCAACTCATGGACATTTGAGTTGTTTCTATCTTTTTTGCTATTATGAATAATTTTTCTCTGGTCATCTGTGTACAAGTTTTCTATGTGTGATCATATATTTTAAATTTGGGGGTACAGATCTAAGAGTGGAATTGCTGAGTCATATGGTAACTCTATACTTAACTTTTGGAGGAATTGTCAAACTTTCTTTTTTTAATGTTTATTTTCTTATTGTTTTTTAAAATTTATTTATTTATTATAAAGATGTGGGGTACAATTCAGAGTTAGGTATATACACATTGATCATGCAGGTACCCTTGTTGGTGAGGTATGCCCGTCCCTCCCCTAGCAGTTTCCCTCAACTGCCAGTCCCACCCCCTCTCCCCCGGCAGGTTTCCACTACTGCCAATCGCTTTCTTATAGCATAATTGTTCAAGGTCATCTTATGAGTGAGAACATATGGAACTCAGTTCTTTGTTTCTGTGATAAATCACTGAGTATGATCGACTCCAAATCCATCCAAGTTGCTGCAAAGTCCATATATTTATCCTTCTTTATGGCTACATAATATTCCATTGTGTATACGTACCATATTTTTTTATCCAGTCCAGCTTCGATGGGCAACATGGTTGCTTCCATGTTTTTCATATTGTGAATAGAGCTGCAACAAACACACGTCTGCAGGTATCTTTTTTGTAGAATAATTTGAGTTCCTCCAGGTATATTCCCAATAGGGAAATTGCTGGGTCATATGGAAGGTCAATTGTTAGTTCTTTCAGAAATTGCCACACTGTCTTCCAAAGAGGTTGCACTAGTTTGCATTCCCACCAGCAGTGTAGAAGCATTCCTTTTTCTCCACATCCTCACCAGCATCTGTTGTTTGTTTTATTAATGAAGGCCATTCTTACTGGGGTTAGTTGGTACCTCAGTGTGGCTTTGATTTGCATTTCTCTGATGACAGTGAGGCTGAGCACTTTTTCATGTGTCTGTTGGCTGCAAGAATATCTTCTTTAGAGACGTGTCTATTCATGTCTTTTGCCCACTTTTTAAAGGGACTGTTTGGTTTTTTCCTTCCTTGTAGATTCCAGATGTTAGGCCTTTATCAGATATATAGCTGGCAAATATTTTTTTCCCATTCTGTGGGCTGTCTCCCTGCTCTATTGATGGTTTCTTTTGCTTTGCAGAAGCTCGTTAATTTGATGAGGCCCCACTTGTCTATTTTATTTCTTAAGGTATTGGCCTTTAGGGTTCTGAATAAGAATTGGTTGCCAGTTCTAATTTCCATAAGGGTGTCTCCTGCGCTTTCTAAGATTCTTGTAGTTTGAAGTTTTACATTCAGGTCTTTGATTCATTTAGAGTTAATTTTTGTGTATGGTGAAAGGTAGGGGTCCTGTTTCAATCTTCTGCATGTGGTCAGCCAGTTTTCCCAGCACCATTTACTGAATAGGTTCTCCTCTCCCCAGTGGTTGTTGTTGGAGGCTTTGTCGAAGATGAGTTGGTTGAGGAATTGAGGCTTTGCTTCCTGAATCTCTCTCCTGTTCCATTGGTCTATATGCCTGTTCTTGTGCCAATACCAGGTTGTTTTGATTACTGTAGCCTTATAGTACAGTTTGAAGTCTGGAAGTGTGATACCTCCTGCTTTGTTTCTTTTGCTAAGGATTGTTTTAACTATTCGTGGTCGTTTATGTTTCCATATGAATTTCTGTATTGTCATTTCTAGGTCTGAGAAGAATGATGTTGGTAGCTGAATGGGTATTGCGTTGAATCTGTAGATTGTCTTTGGTAGGATGAACATCTTCAAACTCTTTTGAAGTGGCTGCACCATTTTATCATCAGCAATGCCTGAGGGTTTCAATTTCTTCACATCCTAGTCAATAGTTGTTATTATCTGTCTTTTTTTATAGTAGCCATCCTAGTGGGTGTGAAATGATATCATAGTAGTTTTGACTTACATTTCCTTAATGATTAACGAGTTTGAGCACTTTTTCATTTGTATATTTTCTATGGGGAAATGTCTATTCAAATCCTTTGCCCATTTGAAAAATTGGGTTGTCTTTTAGTTGTTGAGCTGTAAGAGTTCTTTATATATCCTGGCTACTAGACTCCTATCATGGTTTGCAAATATTTTCTCCCACTGGGTAGGTTGTCTTTTCACTTTCTTAATGGTGTCCTTTGAAGTACAAAAATATTTAATTATAATGGAATCCAACTTATCTATTTTTTATTTTGTTGTTTGTGCTTTTGGTGTTATATCTAAGAAACCATTGCCAAGATTATGAAGTTTTACACTTATGTTTTCTTCCATGAATTTAATAGTTTTACTTTTTACTTTAGGTCTTTGATCTATTTTGAGTTAATTTTTTAATATAGCATGAGGTAAGGTCCAACTTTATTCTTTTGCATGTGGAGATCCAGTTGCCCTAGTATCATTTGTTAAAAAGATTATTCTTGGGTTCGAGATCCGCCTGGGCAGCGAGACCTCATCTCTACAATAAATAAAAAAATCAGTCGGGCGTGGTAGCGCATGCCTGTAATTCCGGCTACTTGGAAGGCTGAGGCGGAAGGATCGCCGGAGCCCAGCAGGCGAGGCTGTGGTGGCTGGGAGTGGCCACTGCACTCCAGTCTGGGCGACCGAGTGCGACTCCAACTCAAAAAAAAAAAAGATTATTCTTTTCCTCATCAAATTATCTTGGCACGCTTGGTGAAAATCAATTGACCATAAATGTATGGGTTTGTGTCTGTACTCTCAAGTTCACGTATTTATAAAATAAGTTTTTTAAAAGTAATCAATTATTTTCCCTGGGGCCTAACCTGGGACCACTCTGAATAGATTCCATGGCATTTTTGTTCACACTTATGAGCTACCTTTGGTGGAATGCCATGGGACCTCATTTAGGAAAATGAATCTGAAAAAAGGTCTCCAGAAAATGAGAACTGGGACATGTAGTGGTGTATTGGAGAGAGAGAACCTTGGTTTGAAATGAGTAAGACCTGGGTTTAAAAGCTAGTTTTATCCAAAGTTGTGCAGCTTTGAGCAAGTTACTTAACCTCTAGGAGATTAACTACTGTGAAATGGAGATGATGGCAATCTCAGTCTCACATGGTTGATGTTAGCATTATGAGGCAAAGGTTGGAAAAGCAATAGCATGGTCCCTGGGACACAGTGGATATTTGACATCAAGCAAACTTACAGCTGACACCTGGTCTTGTGGCTCCCTCCCTTCTGACCCAGGATGATCGTGTGAGATCAAGAGAGGTGGGCTACTCAGTGGGTACCTGTGCCAGATCCCATGATTCTGCTCCTATCTCCTTCTCTGTGCAGCAGCTATGGTTCCATTCTCCCAAGTTTTCTGTCAAGAGCAGTATGAAGGGTGGGTGAAGAAAAGGAAAATGGCTCTTCACACACATGCTTTTTAGCCAGAAGGGAAAATCTGAGGGAAGTCCAGTAGTGAACCACAGAGTAATAAGGAAATAGTGGTATCTTGTTTTATATATTTAAAGCTTTATTTTCATAGAAGAAACAACATAACTCCATTGCTAGTCTAGAACTCTGTCACAATTGAAGAAATCATGTCTGCTTGGATCAGGAAGACACAGTTCAGGTTCATGGTTTATCTTGTGGCAGTTCCCAAATTATAAGGAGAGGGCCTGGAAGAAAACATACTATCCCTGTTCCAAACAAAGTTTCTAAGCCTAAACCTAAATAGTGATGGTGTCACAAAGGTTCAGGAGGAAGGGGCAAAGTGTTTTTTGGCTTTTCATTACTGTGATTAGAGAGTTGGCTGGGATGACTCACAAGACTGCCAAACTGGATTGTTGCCCTAGAATAACCAGGGGTGATAGAACCTTCCTCAGTCCTCTCCTGCTCCTCTGACTCCTTCCCCCAAACCTACCTCAGCCACTTGGGAGGGAACTCCATTGCTGGAACCCTGATTCATTAAATACCCTCTGGTTTGGTTGGCCTCCCCTCTCATCCTTGAGATTATACCCTCTTTCCAAATTCTTCCTTCCCCGTGGCTCTATTTAGATCCCTCATGGCTTTGAGTATTTATTAATGGGGCATCCAGCTCCTGGCTCCTGTTATATAATTGTCAGCTCTTGGGTCTCAGGGAGGCCATATTCAACTTTGTGTTGGTTAAACAGCTTGTGCAGGGCACTGATGTAAAGTGCGTGATACTTGTCCACTGTCTTCTTGTTTGGCTTCTTAATCCTGGGAATTGGCAAGGGTTCCCCAACTATGGAGAAGGAGAAGAGACAAGCATTAGAGCCCCCCTCCTCCAACTCAAACTACCCATTCCTCAGTGGGGGCCATGCACTGAAACTCAGTATCTGTGTTTCCTTCCCTTCCTTCGTTCTTTCCCTCTGCTCCAGTCCCATCCTGGCCCTTGTTCTCTGATCACCTAATCTCAGCCATGCTCAAGAGAATGCAGGCAAGCTCAGGAGGGTGCTAAAGGAATGGATATGAATAGTGATGCTCTTGTGGCAGCTGTTGAACTCTGTCCCATCCATGAATCACAACTCTTATCTGTTTTGTTGTCCTACCCACCCTGCTCTCAACCACACCCCTTGCCCATCCCAGCTGTAAGCCAGGTCCCCCAGGACTTGATGGGTGACTTTGGAGGAGTAGATCAAGAACCAGTGGTCTGGATTTACTGTAAAGCTCACCAACAGTGGTAATGGGTCGATTGAAAGGCAGAAAACCCCAGGATCCACGAGTGAGGCCACGGCCATGGAAGGTACAGAAATTTAGTCCCAGGATTTTTTTGAATATGGCCTGGAAGGTTTTTTGGAAGAACCTTAACCATGTGCCCTCAGGGAAGGTCTCCTGATTGTGAACTTCATTTTCACCAAAGGAATAGGAAGGGACAAGGTATGCCCTGCAAAGAGAAGGACAGGAGTGTGAGCTCTCTGAGGACGCTCCCCCAGCAAATCCCTCTCCAAGGTAGGAAACCTCTCCAACCTCCCCATTTTAGGACAAGAATCCAAGCACCCAGAGATCTCTAACCTCATGTCCCATTCCTTCTATGCCGCACCCTCCCAACTGAACTCTCTGAGGGGAGCTGCTGTGCTTTGTTCTGTGTGATAGGAAGAAATGAATTTCAGGAGATCTAATGGTCTTCATTGCATCCAGCATCCAGAATGTTATTCCTAACCCGCATATAAGGATATGTTACGCCTCTCGTTAAAGCTCTTTCAGAGCTCCTCACTTTGTACCACACATGAAGACATGGCCTTTATGCTCTAGCCCTCCCTACCTGGCTAGCTTCCCCTCTCCCCACTCCTTCCTTGCAATCTACCTAGCCATGCTAAGTGTGCCTAACATTCTCTTATCCGTGTGTCTGCACATTCTGCTCTCTCTGTCAGAAGTGCCTTCTCTCTGTCTTCATGTGGCGAATTCGATTTTGCCCTCAGTTCCAATTTCATCCCCTTGAAGAAACTTTCTTTGACCACTTCAGTTTCCCCCAGTGTGAATTGGTACCCCTCATGTAGTGCTTACCTTTCTTTTGCCCTAATAGTACCCCAGCCCTGTTTTATAGTCATCTCCTTACCTGTCTGACTCCCCCAGTAGACAGCAACCAATTAAAGGCAAGAACTGTGTTGTATTCATCTTTGAATCCCCAGGGCCTGGCACAGTACCTGACATGCCATAGGTCCTCACTGAATGCCTGGGTTCTTTCTCCCTTTTGGTCTGCCTGGCAACTCCTATTTCAATTCACAATTTAGATGTTACCCACCTAGGAAGCCTCTACTGTGGGTCAAAGTCTTTTCATAAATTGGTGGTCTTATGACAATTTGTACACATCTCCATTATAGTACTTTATTTATTCAACAAGGATTTATCTTTCTATGTGCCAGCACTGTTTTAAGCCCTGAGGATGCATTGGTGAGCACAATGGATTACCTTGTTTTGGAGGATGTCAAACAATAAACCATAAAGAAGTAGATAAACAAACAAATAAATAAAATAGGTGATTTATAAGAAGGTAAGTGCAACAGGAAAAAACTAGAGCAAAACGGTCAGGAGATACCTTATTGAGAAGAGACATTTGAATAAAGACTTGAGGAAAGTAACAAAATGAGCCAAGCAGTTATTTGGAGGAATAATGTTCTGGGCAGAGGGAACAGCTAGAGCAAAGACTCTAAGGCAGGAGCATGTGGCCTGCTTGAGGGACAGCAAGGAAGCCAGTGTAGCTGTGATGGAGTTAGCAAGAGGGAAAGTAGTGAGTGATGAGGGCAGAGAGGAGAGAAATGGCTAAGGACCAGATTATTCAGGGTCTTGCAAGCCCTTGTAAGGACTTAGGCTTATTTCTCTGAGTGACATGGAAACCACTGGAGTGTTTTGAGCAGTAACATGATCTGACTCACGTTTAGCAGGATTATCCTGGTTGCAGCTGGGAATAAGGGTGGAGGAGGTAGGAATAGACGCAGGAAGAACAGTGAGAAGCATTGCAATAATCCAGGGGGAGGCTATGGTAGTAAGTTAGGGACCAGTAGTCTAGGTGGTAAGTGATTGGATTCTGCATATATTTTGTAATTATATGTGCATGTGTCTGTCTTCTATATTGAGCTGTGAGTTTGCAAGAACCAGATCTTATTTATTGTTATATCTTAAATGCCCAGCATTATGCCTGACATACAGTAGGTATTCAAAAACTGCTGAATGAATGCATTCTATTTCTCAACCCAGATTATATGCTCTTTGCAGTCATGTTCTTTGCAATCCTCACAGCATCAAGATCAGTGCCTTTCTTGCCCTTGAGGTTCTCTGGACCTGTCAGTTAATAGGCTGATATAGAGTACAACCCCACTTCCCCAGACCTATAGCTTACCAAGGTATCAGGCAGAAAGTAAAAAGACTTCTTTTGTTGTTCTTTCTTCTACTTAAAGTAAGAAAAGTGTCCACTGAAATTATCTGGAATCCCAAACACCCCTAAGGCACAGTGTGAAGTAATGGAGAAAAGGAACCACAGTGAAGAGGGGGCCACCGCTAACAGGTTTCCCAAGGAGGGCACCATTCTGAAGAAAGCTACAGAGGCTTATGGCATCCTGACAAGAGAGCACTAGAACCAAGGGACCCACCCTGTCTCCAGTGCCAACTTCACAAAACCTTTACGCTGTTTGAGGAAGATGGTGGAGGCTCCTGGCCGGCACATGAGGGCTTCAGTAGCTCCGCCCACCACAATAACCACAGCATTGCCTGAGTTTTTCTGGGTCAGCAAGTACTTCAAGGCCAACTTACTCACTGGACACACACCTGTGAAACCAAAGAGTCAAGTGGCAGAACAAACTTGGTGCCAAAGAATGGGGTAAGGTGTTCCTCCAGACCCTTCCTGTTGGAGACCGCTTTTGTTTCCTATTACTGTTTCTACCTTTCTTTGACCTCCAACTCCTGGGTTAGCCCTAGCCTAAGGTTGGTCCTTAGGGTCAGCTGCTTGCCTTGGGGGTCTGTGCTACTATAGTTAGGTCTATACTGAGTTCCTCTGCCTACTACAAACCATAGCTTACTGCCTTTCAGATCAATAGTATTTAAGCCTATCCCTTCCCTCTCTACCTATGAACTACAGCCGTCTTCCACTTTGCCCAGGCTGACAGCACTGGAGACCTTCCAGACTTCTCTCCTCCAGGGTGATCAGGACTAGCCACCACCCACCCACTTTCTCCCTAAAAGCAAATTGCCAAAAGGGAGCCATTGGCTAAGGTTTCTGGAGCGTAGGCAGACCCAAGAGCCCACCCAAGCCAAATTAAAATGTAGATGAAGGATGAAATGTGGATGACAGCCTGTTGTTCAGCGACAGTCACTGAGTCTTTTATCACTTCTGTCTCCCATCTCTGTTCACCTTCCATACTCTACTGGGATGGCAGAAATTGCCTCTAGGCTCTAGCCATTGAGAAGAGATCCCAGCTCCAGGGTCACGCCAACCTCAGAGGGAAGCAGAAGCATCATCTGGGACTCTAGTGGTCCCACCTGGTCCCTCCAGATAAATGTATCTTACATCTTAATGTTTGGCTTCAGTTGTTTTCTGGTGTCCAGAAGGATGAATATTCATCCAGAGAGAGGGACGTTTGTCACAGTGCTCTAGTTTGAAACCTGGCATAGGGAAGTTGTCCTGGATATTCTGATGGCATCTTATGCAAGATTGAAGGAGTTCCCAGGAGATGAAGGTCATGGGCCAGGAATGTACTAGCTAGTATAAGAGACTTTAAAATATTATTAAGACATCATGGGATGAAAGCTGCTGTACAAATGACTGGCCAAAAGAGGTCATTTAACATCCCAGAAAGAGTCTGGTGAAGTTCATTTGAGCTACCCCATTCATTCCTGCTTTTCCCTGTATTTGTGTTTAATACTTGGCTTATCATCCTCTGTTATGCACTTTGGCTTTGATCCTAAAATACTCTCCGGTTTCTCCTCTGAAAGGAATCCTGGTGATTCTTTTTTTTCTTTTTTTTTTTTGAGTTGGAGTCTCACTCTGTCGCCCAGACTGGAGTGCAGTGGCCGCTCCCGGCCACTGCAGCCTCGACCTGCTGGGTTCCGGCGATCCTTCCGCTCAGCTTTCCAAGTAGCTGGAACTACAGGCGAATGCTACCACGCCCGGCTGATTTTTTGATTTATTGTAGAGATGAGGTCTCGCCAAGTTGCCCAGGTGTGTCTCGAACCTGTGGGCTCAGGCAATCCACTCACCTAAGCCTCCCAAAGGCACGGGATTACAGGCTGAGCCACCGAGCCCGGCTTCTGGTGACTCCTATGAATGCCTGTAACTTCTTCTGCTGCCGAACAAAACCCTACCTCCCAGATCTTGGAAATAATCTGATACTTGGCCACATAGTTCTGTTACTGGCCCAGGGTGTTCTAGACTCATTTTCTTTCACCTCTTCTTCCAGCAGGGAGTGACTGCAAGGGCTTATTGGGGTTGGAGCTCTGAGGTAGGTCAAAGAATGAGATGATATCTTATACTCACCCATTGACATCACATATTCTCTTACAATTGGGATCCAGAAGATGCCTTCCAAGGTCCCTACAGAGGGAGTGATGGATGGAAAAATCCGAGCAAAGCCAGTGGCCTCAGTGGCAAAGTTGATGAAGACACCATAAGAAACAATGCCATGGGGGTGGTTGGCAATGATGTAGTTGTGTTTGGGAGAAAGGTCATGAGTCTTCACCAGCTGTTGAGGGAGATTGAGTCAGATCATTGGCTAGGAAGAAGGAAGAGAGGATATGTGGACTCAAACCCCAGCAGGTAGCCTGTTTCCCTCTGAAAGCCCCAAGTTCCTGTTCACTGGGATATCATAGTCATAGGATTGCCAGGGATCATGATGGTCACAAAGGCTGAGCTGGGTTTGCCATTGAGGAAAAGGTTGCTATCCATCTGCCCATCCATCTCCAACCCTTGCTCTGCGTTATGCTTCTGGGCCATGACTTTCACTGTTAGCCACCAAATCACTTGAAAACATGGAGCTGGTTGGGCTTGGTGGCTCAGCCTGTAATCCCAGCACTTTGGGAGGCTGAGGCGAGTGGATTGCTTGGGGCTGTGAGTTCAAAACCAGCCCAAACAACTTGGCAAAACCTTGTCTCTACAATAAAAAAATCAAAAATTAGCCGGGCATGGTAGCGGTGCCTATAGTTCTGACTAATTAGAAGGCTGAGGCGGAAGGATCGCTGGGGTCCAGCAGGTTGACGCTGGGGTGGTAGTGAGTGTCCCACTGCACTCCAGCCTGGGCAACAGAGTGAGACTCCCACTCAAAAATAAGTAAATAAAGAAAAATAAAAAGAAATAAAGAAAAAGAAAAGAAAACATGGAGCTGAGTAGGGAGCAAGAGTCTAGCAACAGGGACCGAGGGCAGCCAGAGGAATGGTAGTCACCTTTATTGGGAAGTAATTTCGGAAATACTTCCAGAGGGTCCAGTTTCGTACCCAGGCTGAACGCCTACCACCTGTGGGTACAGAAGGGAAGGGGAGAGCAGATGGGGCATTGCTAGTCCTCCTGCCTCTCCCATAGGTGAAGAGTTCTGTCTGCAGTCCTCAGGTCACAAGAGGGTCCCCCTTCTCACACCTCAGAGCTGTAGGTACTGTCCCTGAATCCACTCCCCCAAGACTTAGGAATTCCCTGCTCCTCTGGAGCCAGCCAGAAAGGTGATAGGGAAACAGCCTGAGGCTGGGGGCACCTGCCCAGAAACCTCAACCTCCTTATTTTTCCTGTGCAGTCTGGTTGAGACCTCTGTCCCTCTCCCTTTTCTCCCCTCTCCCATCCTTTGATTCTCCCTCCCTCTCCCTCCCCTTGTAGTTCCATCCTTGGCACAAACAGGACCATGATTGTGCCCCTATCTCTTACCTTGACTGTGAGTTTTCCAATCATAGGCGAGCCAGGCTAAGGAGAGCACAGCCAAGGACCAGAACTTAGTGAACACCAGAAAGTAGGGTATAAGGATAATGGGGATAGCTCCTGAGGGGACACAAAGGGTTCACACCCTTCAGTTCCCTTGAAGTTTTAGTACACTTCTCTTAACCCCGATCTCTAATCTACACTCAAAGAGCAGGGCAAGGCTAGTGTGGGGCCCTTCTCTCCCTCTCCTCCCCAGTTCCAACCTCCTACCCACGCCTAGCTCTTCCGTGGTCTTCTGAGCCCTTGGATCTGGAGCTTCTTGATGGCTGAGATCGTAACTGAGGAAACAGCAAAACCATGAAGTTCCTGGTGCGGGCCCTCAGCCGGCATCAAAAGATAGCACTGCTTGGTAAGAGGAAAGAAAAGCACGTTGGGCTGGTGGTTGACATCCCCATCCTGGGACCTTGGAAAATTATTTCCAAAAGCTTGACCCTCCTTCCTTTGTTAAACTGCCAAGAACACATATTCCAGTGGAGAAGGGTTGCCTGCAGTGTACAGACGGTTTGATGCTTAGAAGAAAATGCAGGTTAAAAGCTGCTTTACTGTGTTCTATTTTGTGTCACTCAATGTTGCAAAGGTTCAGAAAAGGAAAATTTTATTGCTGTTAGCAAAGGGACACAGAAGGCTGTGAAATGCAAACATCATAGATCTTACAGCTGTGGGAACTGAATTCCATTTTTAAATCTGCATTCATGAGAAAAAGGGGCTAAGTACACATATTGTGAACTAAAAAAAAGACCTAGCTAAGGGAATGACTTCTTTGACCAGGTACCACATGATGGCAGATAAAAGTTTCAGAGAAGGGGAAGAAACTCAAGAGTTACCTACCAGTAGGTTTTTTTCTCACATTTTGAACATAGATGAAAACAGTCGAAAAAGAATGGGCATTGCTCTAAAAAATCATGTTATGGTGTAGAAAAAATTTTAGTGATAGGCTGGATTCTTTTTGCAAGAACTGGCTGAGACAATTGTTGTAAGCATGCTGATTAAATAGGAAATAGTGGTAGGAAAAATTTTATGGGAAACCTACCATAGATAAAAGCCCTGCTACCTCTGACCTTCATGAAGAGATGAAAGTAAGCTTGCCAGTTAAGCTTCAGAAGAAAACTCAGATAAAGTTAAATAAGAATAATTGCTAATTAAAGGTAGTCTAAATGCATCATTTATTTTATATCTTGCTTCAAATAAATTTTGCCTGTATCCTCAGTATTTATAACAGTGACTGGCACATAATATGTGTTCAACAAATATCAGTAGACTGACTGAAAAAGAAAAAAGTAAATGTTTTCTCTTTTCAATAATAAACGCAAATGATTAGTGTTTAGTCAGGATGTATAATGTTATTTAAATGTGTCATTATTTAAAAGTGTAGACAGAGCGTGTGTGTCTTTTATCGCCTTCATTTATCCACAAGTCCTAAAGGCACTCTAAAAGCCCTTACCTCAGTAACACCATCCCCCTAGTGGAATCTACTGAAACTGCAGGTGTGGCCCTACAGAAGACCATAAATGTTTTTGAGGGCTACGCTTTCAGCTTATTTGGGTCCCATCAATGCCATGCATGGTGACAAAAGTGGGATTTAAAGAGATAAGAGGAACGCATTCAAAAGTAGGCAAATGACATACAAATGGCCAACAACATGAAAAATGTTCAACATCACTAATCAGGAAAATGCAAATTAAAACCACAATGAGATACTGCCTTACACCAGTCAGAGTGGCCATTATAAAAATAAAAAATCAAAAAACAATAGCCGGGTGCAGTGGCTGAAGCCTGTAATCCCAGCACTTTGGGAGGCTGAGGCGAGAGGATTGCCTGGGCCCAGGGGTTTGAGACCAGCCTGGGCACCTTGGTGAGACCTTGTCTCTACAATGTATCAAAAAATTAGCCAGGCATGGTAGCAAGCATGCGCCTGTAGTTCCGGCTACTTGGAAGGCTGAAGCAGAAGGATCGCCTGAGCCCAGCGGGTCAACGCTGGGGTGACTGTGAGCGTGCCACTGCCCTCCAGCCTAGGTGACAGAGTGAGACTCTCAAAAACAAAAAAACAATAGAGGTTGGCACAGATTCATTAAAAAGGGAATGCGTATACACTGTTGGTGGGAGTGTAAATTAGTATTAATACAACCTCAATGGAAATTGATATGGGGATTTCTCAAAGAACTAAAAATAGATCTTCCATTCAATCCAGCAACCCCACGACTGAGTATCTACCCAAAGGAACAAATGTTGTTACACAAAAAAGACACCTGTACTCGTATGTTTATCACAGCACAAGTTACAATTGCAAAGATATGGAATCAACCTAAATACCCATAAACTGATCAGTAGATAATAAGAATGTGGTATGTGTATGTATATATATATATGCACACACTATTTAGCCATAAAAATTTTTTACAAAAAGTCTTTTGCAGCAATGTGGATAAAATTGGGGACCATCACCCTAAGTGAAGTAACACAGGAATGGAAAACCATATACTGCATGTTCTCACTTATAAATGGCAGCTAAGTTAAAGGTCTGCAAAGACATAGAGAATGGTATAATGGACATTGGAGACTCAGAAGGAGGAGGGTGGAAACTGGAGGAGGAATTAAAAAAATAACCTATTTTGTACAATGTGCACTGGTAGGGGTGGTGGGTACACTTAATGCCCAGACTTCTTTACCACTATACAATGCATCCATGTAACGAAAAACAATTTGTATCCCCTAAAGCTACTTAAATTTAAAAATAAAAATGTAAAGAGATAGGAGGAGCAGAGGTCAAATGTGGAAGACCTAAAACTCATAGAATGAGTTCTGTGACACAAAGCAAGGATATCTGAGGAAGGAATAATAAAAAACAAGCATTTGTGTGTGACACTCCCTTAGGTATTATGGCCTTGACACCAGGAGATGGTTCCATTTTCTCTTGTCCATGTTCAAGTGAGGTGTCTTGGAGAGGATATCAAAGAGGAAGTTCATATAGGTAGGCTCCTAATTTAGTTTGTTTTGAAGATGGCCAAGCCATTGTAATAGATGTGCAGTGGTATCTCATCATAATCTTAATTTGCACTTCCCTAATAGCTAATGATGTTTAACATTTTTCATGTACTTATCTGCTTTCTGTGTATCCTCTTTGGCAAAGTGTTCAAATCTTTTGCCCTTTTTTCAATGGGATCATTTGTCTTCTTACTATTGATTTCAAGCATTCTTTATATATTTTGGATACAAGTTTTTTGTCTGATATATGATTTGCAAACATTTTGTCCTAGTCTGTGTCTATCTTTTCATTCTTCTAACAGAGTCTTTCTTAGAGCAAAAGCTTTTAATTTTGGTGAAGTCCAATTTATCTATTTTATTTTCTTTTAAGGATTATGCTTTTGGTGTCAAATCTAAGAACTCTTTGCCTAATGTCAGGTCATAAATGTTTTCTCCTGCTTTCTAAAGGTTTTACAGTTTCTGTTTTGCATTTAGATCTATGATCCATTTTAAGTTAAAAATTTTCAGCTTTATGAAAGTATAACTGAAAAAAATTATGTATATTCAAGGTGTACAATGCAAAAATTTGATACACATATATTTTGTAATGTTTGCCATAATCAAATTAATCAACACATCCACCATCACAGTTTACACTTTGTGTGTGTGGGGGGGCAGGAGGTGAAGATATTTAACATCTACTATCTTATCAAATTTCAAGTAAACAATACAGTTTTACTAAGTATAGTCGCCATACTGTACACTAGATCCCCAGAATTTATTCACATATTTTTTCACCATTAGTATGGCGTTAGCTGTGAACTTTTCATATATGAATTTTATTATGTTGAGATGCATTCCTTTTATATCTAATTTTTTGAGTTTTTATTATAAAAAGATGTTGAATTTTGTCAGATGCTTTTTCTGCACCTATTGAGATGATCATATGATTTTTATTATTCATTCTGTAAATGTGGTGTATTACATTTATTGATTTATGCATGTTGAACTATCTCTGAATCCCAAGGATAAATCTCTCTTGATCATGGTGTATTATCCTTTTACTGTGCTATTGAATTTGGTTTGCTAGTATTTTGTTGAAGATTTCTTTTGCATCTATGTTCATCAGGGATATAAACCTGTAATTTTCTTTTTGGAATATCCTTGCTTGGTTTGGTATGTTTGAATGTATTCCTGCCTCTTCAATTTTTTGGAAGAATTTGAAAAGAATTGGTGTCTCTTCTTTAAATGTTTGGTAGGATTTACCCATGAAGCCATCTGGTCCTAGGCTTTTCTTTGTTGGGAGTTTTAAAAAATTACTAATTACATCTCCTTTAATAATTATTGACCTGTTCATATTTCTTGATAGGTTGTATGTGTCTAGAAAGTCATCCATTTCTTCTAGGTTATTCAATTTGTTGGTATATGATTGTTTATAGTCATCTCTAATGATCCTTTGTATTTCTGTGGTATCAGTTGTAATTGTCTCTTATTTTTTATTTTATTTATTTGATAGTCTCTCTTTTTTTGCTTGGTTAGTCTAGCTAAGGGTTTGTCAATTTTGTTTATCTTTTCACAAAACCAATTTCTTAGTTTTGTAGATTTTTTTCTATTGTCTTTCCAGTCTCTACTTTATTTTTTTCTGCTCTAATCTTTATCATTTTCTTCCTTTTGCTAGCTTTGGGATTAGTTTGCTTTTTTTCCTAGTTTCTTGGGGAGTAAAGTTAGGTTATTAATTTGAGATTTTTTTTTTCTTTATGAAGGTATTTATCATGATAAACTTCCCGGCTAGCACTACTTTTGCTGCATCCCATAAGGTTTGGTATGTTATACTTTCATTTTTTCTTTTCTTTTCTTCTTTTTTAGTTTTTTTGATTTTTTTTAATTTAAAAAATATGGGGTATAATTCAGGATTAGGTATATAAGTGATCATCATACAGGTAAAGTTTGACCTCCCTTTAGTTCCCACTTTGCCTGGTTTGAGATCAGGTACCCTTACTGATGTGTTCCCCCCGACCCCGGCAGTGTCCCGCTACTGCCAATCCCTTTCTTATAGTATTATGGTAAATGTTCAGGGTCTGCTTATGAGTGAGAACATG